TTATGCAGTCCGTTGAACAGAGTCTTGTGGCTGTGTTTATGAGGTTTTTAAGTGTATTGATTTTTTGTGTGGTGTCATGAGCGTTGTATATTTGCTGTTAATGTTGAATGTTATATTAAAGTTTTTCTTCATTACCCATTCAAACCGTCTCCAGCCATTATTAGTCTCAAAGTGGGTTCCTCGTCACCGAAATCGAATATTAGTGTTTATGTACAATCTTAGGATCTTATAAGCTAATATATAACAAGTTCATATAGTTTGTGATATCTTGTTAGGATCTTATAAGCTAATATATAACAATTTCATATAACTTGTGATATCTTGTTAGGATCTTATAAGCTAATATATATATAACAAGTTCATATAATTTGTGATATCTTGTATTCAAGGAGATCCAATTCACATGAAAATTAAATCTTTAATGAGGTCTTTTAATTAAGGCCTGAGGTAGCATAGCCTAGTGTTTAGGACGCTAGGCTCGCAATCTGTAGGTTACGAAATCGAAACCCGGCGCCAAACATGCTTGTCATTTGGGGACATTATTATGTGACGGTGAATCCTATTATTCGTTGGTACAAGAGCAGCCAAAGAGTTGATGGTGGGTGCTACTTGGCCGGGTGCCTTCCCCATAAACAAAAAAAAAGTTTTTTTAATGAAATAACCGAAGTACATTAAGAAATTTGTGTTTCACTTTTGTTTACGTTACGTTAAAGTTTAATCACAATTAGGCAGTTAATTCGAGTAAAAAAAAATATAATCGGTTAATAAACACTTTTCTTTAAAATGAAAGCTGTGACTGACAATACTTTACGTTCACAGGTGTCTAATTTTTTTACTCTTTCAGACTTTCGCGTTAAGCTGCACAAGGACTATTTGCGTATAGTAGTCCCTAATTTTGAACTGGCATAAGGGAACGTAGCTAGTCAACAGCACCCTCCTCCAGCTCTTTGGATACTCTTATCTGAGCGAACAACGGGATTTGACTGTCACCCTTATAGTATATCCATAACTCCAAATTGCGGAGATCGTTATAGCAGAAACGGATCACCAACTGTGAATTCTCGGATTCTCAGTTCGGTCACGCTAACCTTGGGCCAGGCCCTATTTTGTCTGAGACTTAATGCTTTCATTGGATGGATCTGTTGCTAAGCGGGTCTACATTTATCGAGAGTGTTTTAACAAAACTGACAAATTTCTGATTTACCATTAAATACATGATTCACGGCGTTGAATTAAAGATTATGGTTGAAGAAACTCGTTTTAACATGCTAAAATTATAATTAAAGATTATGGTTGATGAAACTCGTTTTAACATGCTAAAATAATAGTGATATAGAATAGAAGATTGCTCCTAGTGTTGAATTAAAGATTATGGTTGAAGAAACTCGTTTTAACATGGTAAAATAATAATGATATGGAATAGAAGATTGCTCCTAGTGTTGAATTAAAGATTATGGTTGAAGAAACTTGTTTTATCATGCTAAAATAATAGTGATATAGAATAGAAGATTGCACCTAGTGTTGAATTAAGGATTATGGTTGAAGAAACTCGTTTTAACATGCTAAAATAATAGTGATATAGAATAGAAGATTGCTCCTTGTGTTGAATTAAAGATTATGGTTGAAGAAACTTGTTTTATCATGCTAAAATAATAGTGATATAGAATAGAAGATTGCTCCTAGTGTTGAATTAAATATTATGGTTGAAGAAACTTGTTTTAACATGTTAAAATAATAATGATATGGAATAGAAGATTGCTCCTAACACTGAATTATTCCACTCCAGTATACGTGAAATAACTTCCTGTATTCCAGGTCCGGGACTACTCTGGGAACTACAACATTAAACTAATACCTTGTACTGCTACAGCAGAAATGGAATATTCCCGACCGCTGCAGTGTAACCCTCGTGATCCCATCACCTTTGATCTCCAGGTCCGCTTCCAGCAGGTCAGCGATCCAGTGCCAGCGGAGTTTAGTTTGAATACTCAGTTCCATTTAATGCGAAAGAAGGCCCTCTGGGTGTCAGACGGCTCCATGGGATTCGGAGAGGACACGGATGTGTCATTTGTACCTGGTAGGTATACACGGGTTCTTCATATCTCGTCTGGTGGATATATACAGGTTCTTCATATCTCACCTGGTGGGTATAGAGTATACACCAGTTCTTCATATCTCGGTTGGTGGGATATACACCAGTTCTTCATATCTCATCTGGTGGTTATACACCAATTCTTCATATCTCGTCTGGTAGGTATACACGGGTTTCATATCTCGTCTGGTGGATATATACAGGTTCTTCATATCTCACCTAGTGGGTATACAGTATACACCAGTTCTTCATATCTCATTTGGTGGGTATACACCAATTCTTCATATCTCGCCTGGTGGGTATAAAGTGATTCTTAATATCTCGCTTACTGAATATAAACTGATTCTTGATATGTCACTTGATTTATGTGCTGGGGGAGGTCCTCTTAAGTCAGAAGCATAGTGCCACCTGGTACTGGTTAGTTATTGTTGGAAAAAAATACTTTAAATTTTAACTTTGTATTGATTTTTGTCATTGTTTCAAATTCGTATCTGAAAGATTGGTTTTATATTGACAGATAGGTTGTTTCGACGTTTGCCAATAGAATAAAATTTAGTTTGTAAATACAGCAGGCTAGAACTTAACCAATTATGATAACAATAAAATCAAAATGCTTTTATTAGATTTTCAATATTGTTAACTTATTCAATTTCCAATTGTTTCTTTAGGGTGATCATCCGTGTTCGATTATACCATACGCTTAAAAATATTGAAAATGTACTTCAATCAACATTTGCTTATGCAATGCTATATGTTTAGGTTTTGGTTTTGTTTATGCAATGTTATATGTTTAGGTTGTTTTTTTTTTTTTGCACAAAACATTGTCTCCAAACCCAATGAAATGAAATTGATTTATTTAGTTATTTTTCATGTGTGCATCATATTCACTAACACATTAATCATGTAAGTAGATAAAATAGTTTACGAATGATGTGAAATGTGGTGATAAATATGTTTTGTTGGTACTGTACATCGACGAAACGACTAAAACGAAATGTTAAAAAGCGTTCTATTGAAGGTGTAGGGAGACGAAACGCCTGGAAAATTATGTTAAAGAATGTTTCTGTTCTGAAAAGTTATTCTAAATAACATTTCATTAATAGTGTACAAATACGAAACACTTAGTCTGAAACGTCATGTTAAAGAACGTTTCACCTGAGGTGTACAGATGTAAAACATCTGTTTTGAAATCTGAGGACACCATTTAAAATCACCTCTAGTGTATTTAAAAGATTAAATTTTAAAATGTGTGCTGTTAACCCTTACAGACTAATGTCTGTTAAATCTAGCCTACAATAGTAAATTATTAAAAGTGTGTATTTGGCCAAGTTTTGTGTTGATCAAAATAAGGAAATCATAATATGGAAGATTGTGGATTATTGAAGTGTGTATTTAGATTTGTTTTGTGTTGATCAAAATAAGGAAATCATAATATGGAAGATTGTGGATTATTTAAGTGTGTATTTGGATTTGTTTTGTGTTGATCAAAATAAGGAAATCATAATATGGAAGATTGTGGATTATTGAAGTGTGTATTTGGATTTGTTTTGTGTCAAAACATGTAGCTTACAAATGATCTGGGAAAATGTATTATAAATATGAGACCAAAGGGAGAATTGGAAAGCTGAGACCTGTAGGGTTCACATTTTATTGAATGTGTATTAAATGGTCTTCGTCAGATTCTGTGTTCATCTTCTCTCTCTTTCTCTCACTGTAGGAGACGAAGTTTTCGGAAGAATCATGGTAGACCCGGTTCAGAATTTAGGAGATTCGTTTCACATGACGATTGAGAAGTGCTTCTTATGTACTGGAGAGAATGGATATGTGCCCAAGTATAACCCCGATAATTCAGAATATGGGTGCATGGCAGATTCTCCTAATTTGCTGCATATCTTTAAAATTATTGTAAGTACCCCCCCCCCCCTAGTTATGTTACAGTTCTCAGTAATGATTGCATTGTGGAGTAGTGAGCCACTTGGAAGTTTTAATTGTAATTCTATTGTACATTGTAATCGTTAAGTTTATTAAGATTTGAGATTTTAAACATGATTGGCACTTCATGCAACTCGTGGACCAAAGGTTCAGGTATAGCAGTTTCTAATTTGGAATTTTGACCAGAGGGAAGTTAGCAAGTCAACAGTACCCGATGCCACATGGGCCAAGTTATGGGAGTGACAGTCAAATACGGGGTGCATTCGACAGCATCACAACCGAACCTTGGACCCAACGACCTGCAGCCTGGAACGTAACTAATAGGCAACACCTAGCACATTAATGGAAACAGGAAGAGTATTGTATTAATAGAAAAGTCATTTGGTCGCTTTTATGTGATTATTTAGCACTAAATGCAGTTATTGACCGTATCGTTTAAGCTTACCAGTCTTATGACAGAACAAAAAAAGGTGCTACAACATGTCTCTCTGCAAATTGTCACTGAAAGGATTGCTACAACATGTCTCTCTGCAAATTGTCACTGAAAGGATTGCTACAACATGTCTCTCTACAAATTGTCACTGAAAGGATTGCTACAACATGTCTCTACAAATTGTCACTGAAAGGATTGCTACAACATGTCTCTCTACAGATTGTCACTGAAAGGATTGCTACAACATGTCTCTCTACAAATTGTCACTGAAAGGATTGCTACAACATGTCTCTACAAATTGTCACTGAAAGGATTGGTACAACATGTCTCTCTACAAATTGTCACTGAAAGGATTGCTACAACATGTCTCTCCACAAATTGTCACTGAAAGGATTGCTACAACATGTCTCTACAAATTGTCACTGAAAGGATTGCTACAACATGTCTCTCTACAAATTATCACTGAAAGGATTGCTACAACATGTCTCTACAAATTGTCACTGAAAGGATTGCTACAACATGTCTCTCTACACATTATCACTGAA